CAGGTCCCTGGTGCGGTGGCACATCGATGTCCTGGGCGAGGGCAGCTTCCGTGACACCCCGGCCCTGCAGCTGCTGTAAGGTCCCCACGCTGCCCCCAACGCGTCCCCAAGGTCCCCATGGTGTCCCCTCAGTGTCCCCTCAGTGTCCCCAAGGTCCCCGTGCCATCCCCAACCTGTCCCCAAGGTCCCCGTGGCGTCCCCGTGGTGTCCCCAAGGTCCCCACGCCATCCCAAACATGTCCCCAGCGTGTCCCTGAGGTCCTCATGGTGGCCCCAAGGTCCCCATGCTGTTCCCAAGGGCATCCTGCTGTCCACATATTGTCCCCGGTGTCCCCAAGGTCCCCATACTGTCCCCAAGATATCTCTGGTGTCCCCAAGGTGTCCCCAAGATGTCCCCAAGAGCATCCCCAAGGTCCTCTTGAAGTCCCCAAGGTCCCCATGGCAACCCCAAGGCCCATGCTGTGTCTCCATGGTGTCCCCAAGGCCCCCATGGTGTCCCCGAGGTGGCTCCAAGGGTGTCCTTAATGTCCCCAAGGTCCCCTGAGTGTCCCCAGGGTGTCCCTGGGAGTGGCAGCAGGGCATCCCCAAGGTCCCTGGGCTGTCCCCAGGGTGACCCCAAGGTCCCCAAGGTGCCACAGGGTGTCCTCAGGATGTCCCCAGGGTATCTCCAAGGTCACCAGGTTGTCCCCAGGGTCCCCAAAGTGTCCCCAGGGTCCACGGAATGTCCCTGGGCTGTCCCTGGAAGTGGCAGCATGGTGTTCCCGAGCTCCCCAGGTGGTCCCCAGGGTCCCTGAAGTGTCCCCAAAGTCCCCTGAGAGTCTCCAGGGTGTCCCCAGGGGTGGCAGTGGGGTGTCCCCAGCGCATCCCTGGGGTGTCCCCGCGTCCCTGGGGGTGGCAGTGGTGTGTCCCCGCAGGTTGGTCACTGCCGGGCGCCTGGGGACCATCGGGGATGGGGCCTTCGCCGGGCTGGTGCTGCTGGAGTACTTGTGAGTAGTACTGGGAGGGACTGGGGGGCACTGGGGAGGGACTGGGGGGCACTGGGTTGTACTGGGGGGCACTGGGAGGCGGTGGAGGGAACTGGAAGATGCTGGGGGACACTGGGAGGGACACGGGGGGACACTGGGGGTCCTGGTGCTGCTGGCAGGTACTGGGATATACTGGGTTACCTGTGAGTGACACGGGGACACCCTGGGGCCACCCCTGGGGCCACCCCTGGGGCATGCTGGGACACACTGGGGACACTGGAGATGCCCTTGGGGACACCAGGGACACCCTGGGGACATTGGGGATGCCTCTGGGGACACCCCTGGGACACATGGGGACACTGAGGATGCCCTTGGAGACACTGGGGCCACCCCTGTGGGGCCACCCTGGGGCATGCTGGGACACACTGGGGACACTGGAGATGCCCTTGGGGACACCAGGGACACCCTGGGGACATTGGGGATGCCTCTGGGGACACCCCTGGGACACATGGGGACACAGAATGCCCTTGGAGCCACTGGGGACACCCCTAGGGGCACCTTGGGACACACTGGGGACACCCTGGGGATACCCCTGGGACACGTGGGGACACTGGGGATTCCCTTGGGGACGTTGGGGACACCATGGGGACACCCCAGGGACATTCCTAGGGGCACCTTGGGACACTGGGGACACCCCTGGGGACACCTTGGGACACACTGGGGACACCTTGGGGATACCCTGAGGACACCTTGGGGACACTACGGGACACCTTTGGGACGCCTTTGGGACACTGGGGACAGCTGGGGACACTGGGGAGACGCTGGGACACCCCTGGGGACACCCCTGGGGACAGCCTGGGGGCCCCCCCGGGACCCGCCCTCCCTTGTGGCCAGGTCTCCCCGTGTCCCCATGTCCCCTGTCCCCCTGTCCCCTGTCCCCCCTGGCCAAC